CCCTCTTTTTATTCCCCCCCTCTTCTCTTTTTATTCCCCCCTCCCCTCTATTCTCTCCCCCTCCTCCCTCTCTTCTTATCCCCCCTCCCCTCTTCTTATTCCCCTCTTCTTATCCCCCCTCCCTTCTTTTTATTCCCCCCCTCCCCTCTATTCCCCTCCCCTCTTCTTACCCCCTCCCCTGTAGCGTGGCCGAGCTGCACTCCGGTCCGCGGTGGCCGGCCGGCCGGAGTGATAGGAAGGTGCACACTCAGTGTGCACCTGCCTATCACTCCGGCCGGCCACCGCGGACCGGAGTGCAGCTCGGCCACGCTACAGGGGAGAAGCTGCAGCCGCCTGAGGCTCTTAACAGAGCGCTCGGGCGGCTGCAGTATTTAAAGGGCCGGCCCGTCGCGGCCGGCCTTACAGGAATTTAGGGCGGCCTGGGGGGCAATTGCCTCCCTGCCCCCTGGCCCAGCCCGCCCCTGTATATATATATATATAAATATAAGGAAATCAGGCACTCTACCTTTAAGAATTGGCTCAAATGGACCCCGGTGCTGCACAGCGTGGATAAATATGCAAAACGATGAAGAGAGCACTCCAGAGGATTTTTTTCAACAAATTTTATACGTGGTTCAAAATGATCAATGTTTCGACCCAAGAGGTCTTTGTCAAGATGTGAATATAAGTGAATAAATTGTATATATAGGGCATAGATTGTTAAATAATCACTTACCCAGTGCAGGTGTGACCCCCAGATCTGTGAGTGAACGCGGTGCTGTGTTCTAGTGATCGTGCGTGTGTGACCGGCGTGGGTATGGTGACGTCATCATAGCGCGACGAGAGGTCTGAAAAGCATCTGGTTACCAAAGTGATGCGGTATTAAGAAGAATTAAGTGAATGTGAAGCGTGCATTCATATAAGAGTAAAATCAACAAGGAGGATAAGCAGAAAGGTGTGCTGATGGTATATAAATAAGCAGACTGTGAGGTTGTGCGATGAATAATAGAAAAGCCCAAACCGGTAGAACAGCACATAGGTGGATGAAAGAGGAGAGAGTGGAGAGGGAATGTGATCGTGAGTGAGCGTGTGTGAAGGGGGTGGAATGGATAGGAAGAGAATGTGGGGCTGAAGCAGGGGAATAATAATAATGCTGTGTATAAAATACCCACAAAAAAAAAGAAAAATTAAACTATGGGGGGCTGAAGCAGGGGAATAATAATAATGCTGTGTATAAAATACCCACAAAAAAAAAGAAAAATTAAACTAAAAAATTGTGTGGAATGTCCCCATAGAGTAGTGTATAGTGATGTCGCGAACGGTTCGCCACGGTTCGCCACGGTTCGCCACGGTTCGCCACGGACTCCAGTCAGCAGACACATTCCAGCCAATCAGCAGCAGACCCTCCCTCCCAAACCCTCCCACCTCCTGGACAGCATCCATTTTGAAGCTGCATTCTTAGTGAGCTGTCCAGGAGGTGGGAGGGTCTGGGAGGGAGGGAGGGACTGCTGCTGATTGGCTGGAATGTGTCTGCTGCCTGAAGTCAGCGGCGAATCGTTCGTGGCGAACCATGGCGAACCGTTCGCGAACCGTTCGGGACATCACTAGTAGTGTATGATAAAAGATGAGGGTGATAGGAGAGAAGGCGACAAGAAATGAGTGTGAGTAGAAATGGATGAAGTGTGTTATCATAAAGGATGAAAGAAAAGAGGTGCTAGAGGTGTGGGTTATATACAGGCATAAGTGCATATATACATATATAGAAAATATTGACCAATAGGTTATATGATAAGACAAAAAATAGTACAACAAGAGAAATATTTACATGTTGCTGATATCTTAGCAAAGGAGAACAAAGAAATTCAGGCAAGATAAATCCAAATCTATAAAAAAAAAAAACATTAAGGCTGTTACCACAAAAATCTACAAAAGTATTTGGAGGAGAGACATCAATATGGATGAGGACAAAGAGGTGGCCTGGAGATGGAGAAGTCGAAACAAGAGTAATAAACATAAGAATAAAAAAAAAATATATATATTCAATGTCCATGAGAGTGATTTAAATTTAACTGAACCTTTCATGACATTGACCATGGGTGGAGTCCCGGGCGGGATACTAGGTCCTCCCCATTACAATTTAAAGTAGCCTCTACCCTATACTCATGGGTGGAGGCATGGGGGGACTATGCCCCTCTGTTATTTAACAAGCCCCATCCACATTTAGCAGATATGCCACAGATGGGGGCATATGCAGGTGCAATACCTACATTATAGTAATATTGACCCCCCTAAGATTCTTATTTATTTTATTTTTAACTTGTTTAATGTGGTGACATCATTAACCCTTACAACGCCAATGGTTCATAATAATTCGCCCGCAGGCTGCTATGGCTTCCAGCAGGCAAAAAGTAATTCAACTTACTATTTACTAGCAAAAACTAAATAAATGATAATTTGTGAATGTGTAATCTGCCAGATGCATTTGATCTATCTTCGGCGGCCATTCGGTCATTGATAAATCTCTGATTTCTGTGCTTTAAAGCAGATGTGAAAATTACTGATTTTCCAAATGCGATTTTCCAAATGCTTCTGAACAAATTTTACAGAATTGGCTGGACCAACCGGTCAGAATTTTGAAATTTTCACTGGCATTTGGGCAAATCTAGTCTTCAGTGAATAACCCTGTGTGTGAAAAGCTTGCAATATCCATCCAAAAGGAGAACTATGTGTAATCAGATGCAGCACCAGTGGACCTTCTGCCTGCACTAGTACTTACTTATTCAGCTTCTTCCCTCAGTGATAGACTTATGGCATCTTTGCAGATGTTGCTTCATACTGGTACTAGTGAGATGACCCTACACTCACTCCCTATTCACTTGGTGCACAATTTGCCTTTTGCAGAAATGTGGAGGCACTCCAAGTGATCCATATTTTATTTCATTGGTGCCAATACAGGTAAGCCCTTTGCCTTGGGTTGCAAGTGACACCAAGATGGCATAATGAGTGAACTAGCTGCGGTAGAAAGAAATGTCATGCCAGTAGAAGTGGCAGCACACATTGTTGCAACATGCAAAGGATGGGGGGGGGGGAAACAATTGCCTCCTGGGTGTTGAATCAGATGTAACAGACATGCTGCTAATTCCACTATCCAGAGGCTGAATAATACTAATAGTGGTAGTGACAGCAGTGGCAGAGGAGGCAGCAATCCTCATGGCCAAGAGATTTTACAATGGCCAGAAGCCATGGCACTACTGCTGATGGTGGTCTGGGAAACATGAACCGTTTCACATTTTTGGCTTGGGATTAGTATGTCACATTAATGATGGAGCATGAGTATTTATTATTACAATAAATTAGTTAAGGAATATAAATGATTGGGCATTGCTATAAGTTTTATTTGGCAAAAATACCGGTAGGTGTTTGTGTTGCAAAATGAAATGGCGTTTAGTGAATTTACTGCTCTAATGTTTTTGCTTTTAAGAAACACTGCTGGTTTTGCTTTTAAGTGATCATACACAGATTTTTTCCACCAAACCGTTAACAAAAAATATGTTTAACAACTGAATATTGGTAAGCTAGTCTCTCACTAGGATCAATTACTAAATGACACTTTTATTTCCCACTCAAAGCTGTTTTAATGGAGCTGATAGCTATATACAGCTATAAGTTAAGCAGTGTCCCAGGCTATCACGCATTCCCACACAGGCACAGCAAGGATAAACAAACAGGACCACTGCTGGACTGTCTCCCTCAGTAATGGATTTCAAGGTGTCTAGAAGAATGCTGCTTGGACGTATAAATGTTTTATTGCTCCTCCTTTCACCCCTCTATTGGCCACTTCACTTATTTTGTGAATAATATCAACATTTAGTGGCTGTCCCTTAACCCCTAAAGGATGGAGGAAGTTGTACAAGTTTAGATCAAAACAAAACGTAAACAAAACTTGGAATTCGCGCTACATGTTGTTCAACCATAATTCACCTCTCTCACATTAAATACTTATACCACACTTATTATATATCATTTTGTTCAGGAGAAACAGGGCTTTCATTTCACATCAAATATTTATATATTAAACATAATTTAATATGTAAACAATGTAAGAAATTAATAATAAAAAAAAAATAGTTCTGCATGGCATTTTAACTGTGAATGTCATAATATTGTTAGCTGTTACTGCAATTAAATACATATATTTGTATTCAGCAATGTCTCCCCACTATGTACAGGTACCCACTATGTACAGGTTTTATGTTGTTTTGGAAAGTTACAGGGTCAAATATAGCATGTTATAATTTTCAGTTTATACACATTGAAATTTGCCGGATTGGTCATGTTGCCTTTGAGATCCTGTGGTAGCCCAAGAAAGAAAATTACCCCCATGATAGCATACCATTTGCAAAAGTATACAACACAGGGTATTACAAATGGGGTATGCCCAGTTATTAGTAGCCACTTATCACAAACACTGGCCAAAAATAGCGTTCATATTTGTTTGTGTGTGAAAAATACAAAAACTAATTTGAACGCTAATTTTGGCCAGTGTTTGTGACTAAGTGGCTATTAAAAAAGACTGGACATACATCATTTGCTATACCTTGGGTTGTCTACTTTTTCAAATGGTATGCCATCATTGGGGTAATTCTCATTTTTGGGCTACCATATGGTCTCAAAGGCAACATAACCAATCTGGAAAATTCCTCCCAGGAATGATACTAAGAATCAGGAACTGAACCAAACACGTTCAGGCTTGCATGAGTCAGTTTCCCTGAGGTCCTAGCTTGGTGGCTTAGAAATAAGTATTTAGGCCAATCACCAGACCGGTCCGCAATTAGTTTAAATGCAGGTCGGAAATGAATCTCTAAGTCTACCTTTAATGTTATTATTAATACTTCACAAATACATATTCATCCAATAAAGGGGACCTGTAAACCTAATATTATACATTTTGGAAGCTTCCCAGTATGATTCAAGAAACAATAAGAAGCGCAACAGTAATTATTTGGATTTATTGAAAAACCTTTTACATTTAAAATATTTCAAATTAATATTTTTCTCTAGGGCCATAACTTATACGAAGCATAAAAAATAATTTGTTACGTTTTGACACACAGTATATGTATTAAGTTAGAACCTTGCTGTAGGGAACATGTGTAAACCTGCGTGCATTTGCAGAACAGAAGCTGCCACTAAAAAAATAATCCAATTTATTAGTTAAAGATTCACTGCTGGAAGTTTTATAACTCAATTATGTTCCCAGATCAAAAAAGAAATGAATGCACATAGCAAAATAAATGTCTTAAAAGCTTTTGTCAATTCTTAGTTTCTAGTCATATTCAATTCAGTGCAGGAACACAGTTTACATGACGCCATTTAAACATCCTTCCACTAATTAAATATTATTTTAGGTTTGCTGCTTGACTTAGTTCAAGAAAAGAGTCAGAGGGAATATTTAGTTATCAATGATAGACTTATTGGGCTTTTGTGACGATACAACCCTAATATTGTCCGTGGGTACTTCCATTAAAGGGACATTCCAGGCACCCAGACCACTTCTGCCCATTGGAGTGGTCTGGGTGCCAACTCCCACTACCCTTAACCCTGCAAGTGTAATTATTTCAGTTTTCATAAACTGCAATAATTACCTTGCAGGGTTAACTCCTCCTCTAGTGGCTGTCTACTAGACAGCCACTAGAGGGCTCTTCCTGCTTCATAGCACTGTGTGAGGACCTCCAGCGTCGCTCAATTTCCCACAGGAAAACACTTAAAAGCATTTTCAATGCTTTCCTATAGAGAGCTCTGATGCACCGCGCATGCGCATTAGGTCTCCTCAGTTGGCGGGCGGGATCAGTCTCCCCCGCCGGCTGACCTAGTGAAGAGGAGGAGCGGCGGCGACCCAAAACCACCGCCGAGGGACATCGGCGGGGGTCTCAAGTAAGTCACTGAAGGGGTTTTCACCTCTTCAGCAACCGGGGGGGACTACATTTCCCTTCCCCCATCTGCAAATCCACCTTGACAACAAAAGCATATCTAGATCGGCCAAGCAGATATCTCAGCATCTTCTGCTATGTGACACATTAAAGTCTCGTTTTGTCACATTTATTCCCCTCCAAAGAAAGTCCTGCTGCCAGACACACCCTCAGCTGCATATACAGACACACACACTGCTTTATGTATAATACACAATACAGCGACATCAAAGTACATGGAAAACAGTCACAAAAATGGTGCCGCAAGCTTGTGGCTTACTCCAAACAAATCAGGCCATCCATCACAGCTTTTCATTAAACACATACTTGCAGAACTTACACTAAAAGAGCCAGAACATTTTTCCAAAATCTAAATTTCTGCAGTTTGGGATTCAATTCACTACAATTCAGTATGTTCTAAATAAATTGCTGAATGAGGAATTCCTATAGTAACATATTTTAAAAACAAAGACAATTTGGGCTATTTAATATGGGCAATTTTGACTCTTTATAGTAGAGTATTTTATCACCAATTTCTGTCATATTTTTCAGCATGTGTTAATTTTTTTT